CCACAATGTATTTGAAAAATGTTTTGGCAAGTTTTCTTTAGTATATTCTTTATGCTTATTTAGCATACTTTTGATTTTAATTATCTTAATTGTAAATTTAATTTGTATAACTAGAAAGTACCGGTATCTTGTGTACCGACAGGTGTCAAACATCTTCATCATGAGGCAGAAAAATATGATGTTGGTGTATACTTTGAAGCTAATGGACATGGAACTGTTTTATTTAGTCCAAAAGCTTTAAAAACGATTCGATCTTCTAAAGGGTATTTGTATCTCTCTCTCTTTTTTTTTTTAAAAAAAAATTATTATTATAATGCTAATAATTCATTGACGATATGAATTTATATTTTTAAGACAAACAGCAGAGCAGGAAAATGCAATCGAAAAATTACGCGCGTTAACCGAATTAATTAATCAAACAGTCGGTGATGCCTTATCAGATTTATTATTTGTAGACGCTATCTTGACTAATCGTCAATGGACATTAAAGCAATGGGATCAAGCTTATACCGACTTACCAAATCGTTTAGTAAAAGTTGTTGTAAGTGCGATTAAATTTCTTTTATTCTTATTGATGATTAATGATTAATTAATTTTAAATTCTTTATTTGTTTTTTTTAGGTTGAAAATCGTCATATATTTAAAACTATTGATGCTGAACGACAACTTGTAGAACCAGCAGGTCTTCAAGCACAAATCGATGAATTAGTATCCAAATATAAAAATGGTAGATCTTTTGTTAGGTAAGCTTGATGATTTTCTTTCTAAAGTTATGTTATCTTAATATAATTTTAAATATAAACATATAGTTAATATATATTCTAAATTATAGGCCATCAGGAACAGAAGACGTTGTACGTGTATATGCTGAAGCAGCTAGCAGAGAAGAGTGTGATGAATTAGCTTATAAGGTTGCAGGGTTAGTTTATGACCAAGCTGGTGGTACTGGTGGTAAGCCTAAAGAATTTTTATAAATGCTCGACTAGTTAATAATATTTAAATTAGATATTGGATATAGATTTAAAATTTTCATTGAAAACAAAAATATATGTAATGTATTTAATTTAAATATAAAATAATTGAATAATATTTATAAAAATGTATAAAAAGTTATTAACTTCTCACAAAATTTTATTAACTTATTTATTCAATAATAAACTTTTTATTTTTATTATCTTAAAATGATTAAAAGAAATATTTAGCAATCTTAAACTATTCTTTTAATTGTATTGTAAATAAAAATAAAACTAATTTTAAATTAATTATATAATTAACTGAATCAAATAATTTTATTATTAAAAATTAAATAAGTATAAATATATTCCAAACTAATTACTACTTTTACTAATATCATGTGTAATAATAATTATTATATTAAATTTAAATACTTTGAATTTTATAAGTAATATTTTTTTAAATTAGATTATAAAATAAATTTTGAAAATTTTTTTTTCAACATTTATTTTATTAAATAGCTAAATAAAGTAAATTTAATTTATAATTAATAATAAAACTTATAATTTTAAAATTAAATAATAAACAATAATTATATAAATTAATCTATAACTATTGATTTTAAATATTATATAAAAGTAATAAGTTTTATTTATGAAAAAAAAGTTAAATTTATAAAATAAAACTAAAATTAAGAGATTAAAGAAGTAACACGCTTGATATAATATACCACCTTCATCAATGTAATAAAATACGATACGGTCGGCATCGCCATCAAGTGAAGCTGCACGATCCCCATGTTTAATACTACATCCAGCAGGGAGCCCTTGCTCCGTTTTGACAAAGTCAGCACCACACTTTAGAAAGGGTTGCAATTAGAAAGGGTTAATAGGTTGTTCACATTAATAAGAAATCATTAATTTGATATAAGTTACCTTATAATTTAATTTGCCTCGAGTTGTAATATCATCATTAATCAACATTATTTCTATAATGTCACTTCCAATATGCTGGGCGAGTTTTTCGATTTTTGGAGCTCCAACACCATTTGCTGCGTCAACATAAAATGGTGCAAGGCGTGGCCTGCCAACCTAATCAATGACATTCTACGTTATTTATATACTTAAATCTTTGGAATTTCTTTTATGAAACTTACCACAATCTTACGGAAAGCGGTTGCAAGTTTCTTGTAATAACCATCTTCCGATGGTACACCATAATCATCTTCAGTACCTTGAGTGTTATAACAACGAGTAACATAGTGAAGTTGTGGAGTGGTTTTCACATCAAAATCGATAACATTAGCGTTAAGAACTTTAAGTCCATCAACGAGTGCATCAACCAAAGCAGG